AAAATAAAAATACAGCAGTAACACAGTGGTAGAGCACCCCTGGGTCCAATCCAAAGTGTGTGTGTGTGTGTGTGTGTGTGTGTGTGTGTCCCTTTATTTATTTATTTGCAGTTCTATATAGCCACAAACTCTGGGTTACTTCTCCACATAAGAAGTGGAACTGAGCAGGCATTGTTGCACATGCCCTTAATCCCAGGGCCTTAGAAGGGTGAGACAAAGTTCAGTGCCAACCACAGCAGTTTAGCGAACCTAACAAACTTAGTGAGACCCTGTCTCAAACATAAAAAAGGCTGGGTGTGTGGCTCTGTGGTTAAGTGCCCCAGGATTCAAAACCCAGTACCAAAAAAAAAAAAAAAAAAAAAAGTGAAACTTAAATCCCTTCCTCTTCAATTGTGGGATGTTCCATAACAATTTGTCCTCTCCTTTCTTGGATCTAGAATCAGTTATTTCTCTAAGTAGCTGTTTTCTTACAGTAGGAAATAATATTTAAATGAAACACTGGGACAGTTTATGTTATTAGATTGGTCATTGTTCCCTGCCTTTTTCAGTGGGGAAAGGTAGGAAATAAGTATTTCCTTGTTTCAAAAGATAAAATAGATCCTGAGTTCCCAGGATTTGGAGAAAGACTTCTTTGGAAGGAGGTGCCTTTGTGATGTAGATGAATGTGCAGTTCCCCATTCTCCTTTCTTCAATTACCTTTTTAAAGTTTAGTTGCAAGTACATACCGTTAAATAATTCTTTCATAATAAATCTTATTTTAATTGGAACAAGAGACAATTATCCTTTCTTTTTCTAATATAGTTACCTGTGTATGAATCATTCAAATTAAATTGAGCCCTTGCATGACCAATGTTACTACGTTTTCTTGGTCTAGTTAAAGATTTTAAAAATAATTTTTATTCAGAAAAGCAAACAAATTATCATTAAAATATTTAGCAAAAATTCTACACATATAGGAAAAATAATACTGTTTGAGAAAGGATTTAAAATGAAAGACTGAGGTTGTGAAATTCTTTCACTTAGGGAAAACTTGAGGCATGAGAGTTGGCAGGTCATTCTGACCTCTCAGGGCCAACTCCCTCACATGGAGATAAGTCCTCCTAGTAAAAGCTTTTCTTTACAGAGATTCTTTCCTAGAATTAATAACCTGAGCAGTGACCACTCAACAAGCTGTGCTATTCTTGTTGACCAGTATAATTATAAGAACCAAGTTGCTGTAATTCCCTTTTTATTTTTTATCTGTTAAATCAGATCCTTTGTATGCCATTTGGCTTGAATAATAGGGTCTTTGTTTTCAATTTTGTTGTGCCTCAAACTGCCTTTTGTTTTGGGATGTAGTAAGAGGGAGAGGGTTCCCTTCCACTTCCCTGTTAGTTCTTTTGTGAGTCCTTTGGCTGAATCTAGGAGCCCCATTAATGTAAGAGCTGCTTAGCAAGAAAATAATAAGTTTTTAAGAATTAATGTGGGGATATTCATAACAGAATGAAGTCTTAAGAAATGACCAAAGCATGATGCTTATTTTAGACAAATAACAGTATATTTGTAAAGGAATCATCTTAGGATAAATGGATGTCTGGACTAGGGTCGTAAATTCTAGGGATGTTACTGAGAAGTACATGGGGGAGAATAGATGCATGTGGAAGGTAAGGGTTAAAGAATTTATTCAGGTTGCAGCCCTAATAAACAGTCTGCTGTTTCCCAGCCTTGGTATGTGAAGGACATCCCTCCCAAGAGAACTCTTGTGACTTGGTACATGTAGGAAAAGATAGGCTGAATATCCCTTTCCTCAGTGATTTTTAGCTTGAAATAATTAATATACCAATTTCCCATATTTTTTTTAAAGAGAGAGAGAATTTTAATATTTATTTATTTATTTATTTTTAGTTTTTGGCAGACACAACATCTTTGTTTGTATGTGGTGCTGAGAATCAAACCCGGGGCCGCACGCATGCCAGGCGACCGTGCTACCGCTTGAGCCACATCCCCAGCCCAGTTTGCCATATTTTGGTTTTTGTAGTTGGTGTTTTTGTGGTGCATGCTACTAGGGAAATGCTCAACCACTGAGCTACACCACAGCATTTTTCTTTGTGTGTGTGTGAGGATTGAACCTAAGGCCTTGTGCACCTTAGGCAAGCACTCTACCAGCTGAGCTGTGTCCCCAGCCCTGATAGTGTGACTTTTTAAAAATTCCTTTCTCCCTTCCTTTTCTATGAAAAAAAAAGAAAAAAAAAACCAACTATGGTTTATTTTCTCAGTGATTACAAAGGGATCACAACTAGACTCTATTTTTCATCGCTAACCGTTGAACCCAGGGCTTTGTACATACCAGGCAAGCACTCTCCTGCTGAGGTACATCTCCAGGTACCTTAGTTTAATAATATGCAGGAACTATGCTCTTACACATTTCCTTCCTTCCCCACTTCCCCCTATTGAATCCAGAACCTGGAGCATGCTACAAAAGTACTCTACCACTGAAGTACATGCCCAGACTTAAAATTTTTATTTCAAGACAGGGTCTTAGCTGGGCACAGTGGTGCACGCCTATAATCCCAGTGGCTCTGGAGGCTGAGGCAGGAGGATCACAAGTTCAAAGCCAGCCTCAGCAACAGTGAGGCACTAAGCAACTTGGTGACACCTGTCTCTAAATAAAATACAAAAAATAAGGCTGGGGATGTTGCTCATTGGTGGAGTGCCCCTGATTTCAATCCCTGGTACCAAAGAAAAAAACAAGACAAGGTCTTGCTGGGTTTCCCAGGCTTGCCTCAAACTTTCAGCATCTTGAGTAGCACACAATACCCTACTTCTGCATTAAATTGCTGAGGCTGGCCTCCAGCTTGCAATTCTCCTGCCTCAGCCTCCCAAATTGCTGGAATTATAAGCATATGCCACCATGCCTGGCTCTTTCACCACTTTTAATATGTCATCCTGTTAGGTAGGAGTTCCGGATGCCAAGATGGTGTCAGTAGGGTACAAGAAAAATGCGACTTGGAAGACAGGACAGGGAGTTGAGTCATCACATCCCTGTTGACAATGTTCTGGTAACATAGCAACTCCTGCCACTGAGGATTTATTGCCCATGATAACTCCCACCACAGACTTGGAATTCTAAACTCACCAGCAAATGCGGGGAGCTCTCTATTAGGTCCGCACACGGAAGAACGCCTCGCAGCTCAACATAGTAGGAGGCAAGAACTTCCAGACATTCTTGTTTTGGCCACTCTGCTGTACCTGACTGAATGCCACTTTTATCTTCACCTTCAACAAACTGTTCTTTACCTGTTACTTCTGCATGACTTGCTCACTTCTTTGTTGCACCTGGAGACCCCAGCCATACAAATCCCATTGCTCTTTTTTTCTTTTTCACCTGGGATTGAACCCAGGGGTGCTTAACCAGAGCTACATCTCCAGCCCTTTTAATTTTTTATTTTGAGACAAGGCCTCACTGAAGCAGGCCTTGAATAAGAAATCTTCCTGCCTCAGGCTTCGGAGCCACTGGGATCACAGACATGCCCCACCGTGCCTGGCACAATTCCATGCTTTCTGACCTCCTTGATTTCAGCTGGGAAATTGGCTGTTCACCTCTCGGAGGATCCCTGTACATGATGGGGTGCTTCTCTCTCGCTGCTTTAAACATTTTCTTTATGTCTTTGGTTTTGACACTTTGACTATATTATATTTGATTATATTATATCAGCATATGGCTCATTTGTTTATCTTTGTCGGATTTCTTAGAGATTCTTGGATGCATAGATTTATATCTTTGATCAAATTCTGGAGGTTTTCAGCATTTATTTTTTCTTTTCTTTTTTTTTTAGAGAGAGAGAGAGAGGATTTTAATCTTATTTTGTTGTTTTTTTTTTTTAGTTTTCGGCGGGCACAACATCTTTGTTTGAATGTGGTGCTGAGGATCGAACCCGGGCCGCACGCATGCCAGGTGAACGCGCTACCGCTTGAGCCACATCCCCAGCCCAGCATTTATTTTTTCAAGTATTCTTTCTTTCCCTTTTTTCTATTTCTTTCCGGAGACTCCCACTGTTTCTTCTGTCTGTTCCTCTGACTTTACAATTTCAGTTGACCTACACTGAAGTTCACTTGTTCTTTCTTCTGACTGCTCAAGTCAGCTGTTGCAATGTCTAGTGAGCTGAGTACAATAGCACTCCCTATAATCCCAGTGACTTGGGAGGCTGAGGCAGGAGGATCATGAGTTCAAAGCCAGCCTCAGCAACTCAGTGAGGCATTTAGCAACTCAGCCAGACCCTGTCTCAAAATAAAAAATAAAAAGGACTTGGGATGTGGCTCAGTGGTCAAGCAACCCTGGGTTCAATCCCTGGTACACAAAATAAAAACAAAAAAGAAATTTTGACTTTATTGTTATTAGTTTTATCAGTTTTAATCAAATGTGCCAATTGTTCTGGAGTCTTTAAGATCGGTTCCAGGCTGATTCTGGTTTTATCACTGTTGGGACTCATGTTGTTCCATGGATCTATGCCATCGCCATTTCCCCATTCTGGGACCCTTTTTGTACATGGCTTTTACACTTTACACTTCCTCTGTGTACTTAACTTTCCACCTTTCCTATCGCTCTTTAGTCCCTGAGTCTTGTCTTCTGTGTCCCATTTTCCAGGAGACCCATCTGTGGCCACCTATTCTGTTCTTACGTCCAACACAGTCGTGGCCTGGTGGTTCTTGCGACAGGAGCATGCTGTGTTGCCCAGGCTGGCCCCCCACTCCTGGTCCCTGTGGTCCTCTTGCCACAGCCTCAGCTGCTCCCCAGCTGGCAGTTGGTTTATTGTTTAACACATTCTAAGTCTGAGGAATAGTCTCTATTATTTATCTAACCTATTTGCCGTTTCTACTCATAATTACAGTCATTTTAAAAGTCCTTATCTTTAACCCTAATTTATTTCATTTGTTGCTGTGATTCACTTAAGTGTATTCTTTGGATCACCTTTTTTTCCTTTTTCTTTTGTTCCTTAATGCTTAGAAATTTTTGGCTCTCTCCTTCCAACATCGTGGTATGCTCAGTGGACTCCATTCCTTACCATGTCTTCTCACAAGACTTTCAGGATCAAGCAATTCCTCGCCAAGAAACAAAAGCAAAATTGTCCCATTCCCCAGTGGGTTCAGATGAAAACTGGTAACAAAATCAGGTACAACTCCAAGAGGAGACACTGGAGACGAACCAAGCTGGGCCTTTAAAGAATTGCATGTAACATAGCTTACATGTTTATGCTTTGTCAGGGCCATTGTCACCTGCCATATCAAGCTGAAAATGTTACTTATGTCTGAATAATTGGGCATGTTTAGTTGGAATATGATTTTTCGCTTTGTTTCTAGTCTCTGCACTAATAATTAATAATAAATTTTAAAAAACCATTTTGTTTGAGAAAATGATTATTCTGGATGTATTCCAGAATTTAACAAGTGTTTGCTGTTGTCCCTGGTGTGTTCTGTGCTGGTGGGAATCAATCACAGGGCGTGCTACACTCACATACATTTCCATTCCGTAATAAATGTGTTAAGAAGAAACCTATGTGTGTCACTGTCAGAATATTCCAGTCTTTACTTTTGCCAGAACATTTCTACATGACTGTTAAACTCCATTGGTTTTCTTTTCCCAGCCATATGTATTGGATCATTTTCCTATAAATTTATGGGGACAAGATGTCCTAGATCAATTAGGTTTGACATTAACAAATAACATCAATCCAAATATGCCCACTATTAGGGCTAGACAAGGCTTTAGGAAAGGAAAAAGATTAGGAGAACAAGAACAAGGTATAGCAGCACCAATACAAATAGATCAAGGAACAGACAGACATGGATTGGATTTTCAGAAAGGGCCACTGAGACAAGAAAAATTACTTGGAAATCAGAAAGACCAGTATGGGTTCCTCAGTGGCCCCTGACTAAAGAAAAGAAACAAGCAGCCCATGACCTGGTCAATCAACAATTAGCGGAAGGACATATACAACCTTCTGTATCTCCCCATAATACTCCCATTTTTGTCATCAAAAAGAAATCTGGTAAATGGAGATTATTGCAAGATTTAAGAGCCATTAATAATGAGATGGTTATTATGGGACCTGCTCAACCTGCTCAATCAGGGATTCCTCAGTTGTCTGCTTTGCCAAAAACCGGGTATGTTTTAGTTATAGATATTAAAGATTGTTTTTTTTTCCAATTCCAATTCATCCTGAGGATAGTCCACCTTTTGCATTTACTGTCCCTGCGTTGAATCATGAAGGTCCTGATCAGAGACATGAATGGAAAGTACTCCCTCAAGGGATGGCTAACAGCCCAACTATGTGTCAAATTTATGTTAACAAAGCAATCCAGCCACTTAGAAATCAAAATCCTGCACTACAAATATTTCACTATATGGATGATGTATTATTAGCACACGAAGATAAAAACACATTGCTAGAATGTTATGCCACACTGATGAACTTATTAAAAGATTATAATCTAGAGATAGCAATAGATAAAGTACAATTAAATTTTCCAATTAATTATTTAGGAGTTCTATTATCCTCAACCATGGTCCGTCCACTAAAAATTCAAATATGAGTAGATCAACTCAAATCACTTAACAACTTTCAAAAGTTATTAGGAGACATAAATTGGATAAGGCCTTATCTAGGCATATCAACAGGAGAGTTGGAACCTTTATTTGATATCCTAAAAGGTCCATCAGATCCAAATTCACCCGAATGTTAATGCCTGAAGCAAGAAAGGCATTAAAAATCATTGAAACATATATGGAAAATATGCATTTGGATAGAATTGATATGTTTGCCTTTATTATTTATTGTACTACCAACAAAAAATATTCCTACAGGAGTATTTTGGCAAGAAGCTCCATTATTATGGATACATTCATCTTATTCTCCTAACACTATTCTTACTAGGTATCCTGAGGCTGTAGGACAATTAATTCTCAAAGGAATGAAAGGAGCAAAGGGAGTGTTTGGAATTTCTCCCAATAAAATGATTACTCCATATACTATGGATCAAATTGATGAGTTAGCTAATGAGTTAAATACTTGGGCAATAATCATGTGCAAATCTAATGTTTCATTTGATAACCACTTACCATCTAATCCTTTATTGTCTTTTTGGTCTTCTCATCCTGTAGTTTTTCCAAAAATGACAAGAAAAACACCTATCATGAATGCTCCAAATATATTCACTGATGGGTCAAATAATGGTACAGCAGCAGTAGTTACCCCTGATCAAACTTTTACATTTTTAGTACCCAAACAATCAGCTCAAAAGGTAGAGCTTAATGCAGTTTTACAAGCTTTTGTGATGTTTAAAGATTCTGTATTTAATTTATTTTCTGATAGTCAGTGTATAGTTAATGCTATAGTATCCCTTGAAGATGCTGGTAGGATTTCCCCTTCCTCTACTGTTTTCTCTTTGCTTTCCACTATACAAAGTCTAATCTGGGACAGAAAAGATCCATTCTTTATAGGACATATCAGGGCACAAACAGGATTGCCTGGAGCCCTTAGTTTGGGCAATGATTTAGCAGATAAAACTACACATGACATACATATTTTCTCTACGCAAGAAAAAGCTACAAATTTTCATAAATCCTTCCATGTCAATGCAAATACTTTAAAAAAGCGTTTTAAAATAACTAAAGAACAATCTAGACAAATAATAAAACAATGTCAAAATTGTGTGACCTTTTTACTCTTGGAATCAATCCTAGAGGACTGATACCTAACCATATTTGGCAGATGGACGTCACACACTTGCCAGAATTTGGAAAATTAAAATATTTGCATGTTACAGTTGATACTTCTTCTGGATTTTTGATGGCTCCCTTCATTCCGGAGAAAAAACTAAAGATATTATAGCTCATTGCTTACAAAATTTTGCCACTGTGGGCATTCCAAAACAGTTAAAAACAGATAATGGCCCTGGGTTTACCTCTACCTCTTTTAAGCAATTTTGCTCATCATTTGGCATTACTCATATAACAGGAATCCCATACAATCCACAGGGACAAGGCATAGTTGAAAGAGCTCATCAAACTATTAAAATGTACTCATTAAAGCAAAAAGAGGGAATTGGGAAGGGGTATATATCCCCCAAAGATAAACTTAAAATAACCCTTTTCACTCTAAACTTTTTAAATTTGGATTCATCAGGGCTTAGTGCTGCGGAAAGGCACATGTGTCCAAAAAATGTACATAAGCTCAAGGTACTTTGGAAGAATATTCTAACAGGACAATGGAAAGGTCCTGACCCAGTGATTGTCTGGAGTCGGGGGTCTGTTTGTGTGTTTCCACAGGGAGAACAGCAGCCTATTTGGATTCCAGAGAGACTAACTAAATGAATTCTACAGACCAAAAAGAAGATGATTTGGCTCAAATCCATAACGGCTGATATCCAGAACTCCAGTTTGGCTATCCTTACATCTGAGACAGTGGTTCTCCCACACCTGGAGGCTAATGAATAATGAACACCATTAAGGCCTATTTCAAATGTAAAAAACCTTGGGGCTTGCTTGTGGGAATACCTTCAGACCCATATGCAAGTCACAGGAAAAAGGATGGGATATCAAAAGAAGAGTCAAACCCAGGTGGTAACCAGGATGCTTTTTTCAATATCTATTTTATTGCCCTTTCCCACATCATGAAGTTCTATTTTATTTTTTGAGCTCATACAGACCTAGGTTAATGTTTTTCTGATTAGTTCTATTTTTGATTGTGGAGTTTTTAAACATCGCAATGGAGATTTCACCTGTGAAAAGCTTCAAGGCCTTTACTATTGTCTTATGTGTTGTATGTTATGTGTGCACACTTGTGTTATGTGTTGTATGTCTGTATGTGCGTATGTCTATGTATCATATATGAGGAGCGCTTATGAAAAAATGGATCCAAATATTTTTTTATTATTCACGTGATTTAAATGGTTTAATTTAAATTGGGGAAACAGCTGTTGAGGATTGTTTTAATATGTGAACAAAAAAGGTGGTTAACAGATCTGTTTGTTTACTTTCACCTTTCCTTTTCATTATATATAATTCTGTTCAGGATAATGTAAATTGCTCAGAAAATTGTTTTCTTAGTGCCTGCTGGAATGCTACATAATTTTTTTAGCCATCATTGCCAGAATTCCTATCTTCATCCCAGTGCCGGTGAAGACAAAGATAAAACCAAACTACAGCTTCTGCGATAGCTATCACAACAAACTGTATAAATCGATGCATCAATGAATAATGTAACTCAACAAGTGATGCTCAATCAAGAAGTCTATTTGCTTTGGGAGGAAATGGACCTATTGATGGATTCGTCTGCTTTGAACTGCTTGGAGAACTTGCCTGGACTATGTATCACTTGTATGCATTGAACTCTCTGTTGGTGCAGTGACTTGTGGTAGTGCCAGGGTATTTTTGCTGATGGTGTCATCAGTGGTACAATTTTTCCAAAAGGAGCGGTCAATTGGCTTGGTGTCGTAGCATTTTGTATCCTCCTCCCTTCTGCTTGTGATGGTTGTTCAGCTAAAATTTGGGGGCCAACAGAGGTGAGGCAAAGAATCTCACCCCCCCACTGGTACAAAGGCCTATCCAAAAGTATGGCTGTATGCTGGACTTGTAGTCAGTAAGATACAATTGCAATGGTACCAACCTAAGACAGCAGGCTGACGCCTTGAGGTCAGCTCATCTGATGATGGGTAAGGACCATATGTAGTATTGGACAACCTAAGACAGGCACAGTCCCTAAGACACATGCTTGTTGTTTAATTAAACAGAAGAGGGGAGATGTTGAGAGCCACAGCCAGTTGGGATGGCGCCTGGCATTTTGCCAGAAGGAGTGGTTGAGAGGTGATGCCAGTGAGCCATTAAGATGAGGATAATTAAGTTAAGCTGCGTATAATTGCTGTGACTGGATGGTGCTGGATTGAAATAGGCTGTGTATTCAGTTGTATATAGACCCCTGCTGTCCCGCAATAGGGCGGTTCCTGCTGCCTCAGAGCCAGCTCCTTTGGAGTTCTCTCAGAGTTCCTGTTGAGTTCTCAGGGAGCCTGGTGGAGGGAGAGAGAGTTCCCGGGGAGTGCGCATGGAGTGCCGGTGGAGTTCGGGCAGTAAAGGAGTTCCTGTTTTGAACCTACAAGTCCCTCATGGTGACTCAGTTATTTGTGCCCAGCCAGACTGCAGCATATGCTTGTGGACATGATATAATAATCTGTTTACTAACTTTCTGGGTGCATTTATTTTAATTTATGAACTTTTATTTGTCATCTCTTATGCATCAGACAATGAAAATGGATATATAATGGTCATAAGAGGGTGGTGGGGTTATGCATATCACACTCAGCAAGAAACCAGCACCACTCAGCGGGTGGGAGCTCAGGTTTATTTCATCAGAGGACCAGATGACCTAGTGCTCTGAAATTCTGGGGCCCAAGCTGATGTCATAAGAGTGCTGTCACAAGGGGCTCTTTATAGGAAATTTTACATCATTTCTTAACTATTACAAAATTGGTGGGTTTGAATTCTTGACTTACATGAGCAGGACCATGTGGAGAGATTCAGGATAAGTAGTTCACAGGTGCAGACAGAGACTTGCCTGTGTTACCCTAACTGGCCCTCACCAAGGCAGCAGTAGCTCAAGATGGCTTGGGCTGACCTTCCTAAGAGCTATATTTCTAAGAACTAAGCCTATGAAGTTACAGTTCAGACAGCAGTTAATTGGCCTAGCAATTAAACAATGTAGCTACATTTTTACAGAGTTCAGAAAGTTACAAAGTAAAAGAAGAAACAACTTTTCTTTCTTTCTTTCTTTCTTTCTTTCTTTCTTTCTTTCTTTCTTTCTTTCTTTGAGGCATCTGTTGAGTCTCTGGCTTGAAGCTTGAAAGCCTGGCACAGGGCGTTTACATTTACATTTCAAGAGAGAGTAGTCAGCCTCCCAAGCCAGCTATTTACCACCCAATAGGTAGGAACACTTGGTTAATTGGGTTCCTAGAAGAAACCAGGTCTGGATTTTCCAATGAGTGCTGATATAATACTTGAACCTTTTTACTAAGCACTTTCTGTGGAACAGACACCCTTTAAGTACTTTACCCATATTATTCTCATAGTACCTCAAAGACAAGTCCCACTCAAGATGCTCATGAGCAGTAGGAAGAGACAAGCGGAAGAGGGACAATAGCATCATAAGCATGGGACAGGGTTTAAGGGTAGAGTCGTTTCAATTTAAGAAGCATTAACCAGGTGACGAAAAGGGAAATGCTTCTCCAAATATTAGCGCCACCAATGCCAACTGCCAAAGTCTTAAAATAACAGGGCATCTTCTGGAGAAGCTGGAAATCAAGAGACTGGAAATGAGAAGGGGCAGCCAGTAGGGGCAACAGTCCACAACGCTACCCAGGAGTAGATTTGCTCTCTGCAACTGCTGTATTTACAGACTTCTCTCATGGCTTTTGAAAGAGATCCAGTAGAAACAGGGAGAGCTGGGCAGTGGTGCATGTCTGTCATCCCAGCAGCTGGGGAGGCTGAGATAGGAGGATCAAGGGTTCAAAGCCAGCCTCAGCAAAATGAGGCATAAAAAGCTCAGTAAGACCCTGACTCTAATAAAATTCAAAAATAGGGCTGGAGATGTGGGTCAGTGGTTGAATGCCCCTGAGTTCAATCCCTAGTATTAAAAACAAACAAACAAAAAACAAAACAACAACAAAAACAAAAAAACAGGTACAAAATAAATTACCTAAGCCTGGAGTTTATTTTCATAGTTCACAGTGTAGAGAACCATGTAGAATCCTGACTTCTTTTGTTATAGAGTATCTTGTGACTGCTGGAATTCAATAGATAAAGCAGTGGCAATATGTGGGGTTTTTTTGGTTTTTGTTGTTGTTGTTGTTTTTGGTACTGCTGATTGAACCTAGAGCGCTTTAACCACTGACCCACATCCCCAGCCCTTTTAATTTTTTATTTTGAGACATTGTCTCACTAAATTGCTGAGGCTCTTACTAAATTGCTGAGGCTGGCTTGAACTTGAGATCCTCCTGCCTCAGCCTCCTGACTCAATGGGATGTTCCACCTTACCTAGCTATGTGTGTGCATTTTCAAGGAAGAAATATTGATAATAGGTTAGGGAAAAGGTAGAATAAACTTGCAGTTGGTAGTGCCAATTTGGTGACCTTATGAATAGCCCTTTTTTAAAAAAGAAAGTAAACACTGAGCACCTATTATGTGTTCAGCACTCTGTTGAACACTTTATGTGGCGTTAGTCGTTAGGATTCAATCCATGCAATCCAAGGGCTTAGTTTTTACTGTGGCAGGCATCACTTCTAATTTTACTTTACAGATGAGGAAGTAGAACTGAGAAGTTTATCAGTCAAGGTTCAGACATAAAGAACCACTTGAGATCTTAAATCTCGTGGTACTAAGCACAGAGAATTCAGTCTTACAAGACACTGGAAGGGCTGCAGAAGCCATTGTCACATGGTTTTCCTCTGCACCTTGGCTTCTGTGGTGAAGAAAACAGGCAGCTGCTGCAGCTGCGACCCAAAGGCCTAAATAGTTCAGAAAAAGCACTCTTGATGAGCCAGTGGCCTGAGGCCACAGAGACACAGGGACAAGGAAGAGAGCCGAACAAATGGGACAACCATAACAAAGAGCCTCTTACAGTAATGCCTTTCCTCTCCTTTCCAGAACTCTGAAGTGCCTCTCCTTCAGAAAAATGTAAAGGAATCCAGGGTCCTCGGGGCAAAAATGTGTGGGGAATGTCCTTCCCAGGACTGCAGCCTGCCCTCTGGGAGAACCGCCCATTGCAGGGAAAGGAATGCTTGTGTTAGGAAACCACTTGTTATTTAACAGAAACACAGGAGGCTCTGCTGGGAACTCTGGCCAGGGTCTCAGAAGGCTCAAATCCAGGCGTTAGCCAGCAAGGCTTGAGAAGGATGTGCCTCCAGTCTCCTTCAGGTTATTTGTGAATTTACTTCCTCCTCCCGTTGCCCTGTGGTCCCTCTATCTTTCAGGTGGCACCTATGGGATGAGTCTTTCTTATGCTTGTGCCTTGAGGAGTTCAAGGGATCACACTGTACTTCCCTGCAAAATCCAGACTAATCTCCATTTTAATGTCAGCAGATTAGTATCCTTAATTACATTTCCAAAACTCCTTTTACCCTGTAACTGAACAAGCAGAAGAGGCATACTAGGGGACCAAGTTCAGGGTGGTCCAAATTCAGCCTATCTAGTTCTCACTGGAAGAAAGCAAATAAACTTCCAATTTGAAAAGCTAAAAGATTTGCTCAAGGTCACTTATGTGCTCCGCATTGTAAATTTTAATACTAAACATTATCATCAAATGTCTGCTATCACATTAAGAAATGTACCAAAAGCTGTGTCTCTGTTATCCCACGTGTTTCTTTAATTAACTGGCGTATTTTTGTGGTCCTCTCTGTCCGATTGAAGCCAGGGCTTTCCACATGTTAGGCAAGCACCCTACCACTGAGTTACAGCTTTAGCCCTTTTTACTTTTTATTCTGAGATAGGGTCTAACTAAGTTGCTCAGGCTGACCTTCAACTTGTGGTCCTCTGGCCTCAGCTCACTGAGTAGCTGGGATTGCTGGTTTGCCCCACCACAAATGCTTCCATGTGGTACTCTCATAAAGGAGGGTGTAGCTCAGAGGTAGAAGACTTAGTGAGCATGCACCCTGCGTTTGCAAATTGAGAGACTTTATAGTAAGTGTCTTGAGTACTGAGAATTAACTTAAATAATAATGGATAAGTGCTTCCTGGAGGGCCTGAAATCATTAAGAACACAATAAACCATCTATTATTGTTTTGGTTGTTCCCAGTTTAGAAAAAAATTCAACAGTGACTCTGAAAAGACATCCAACTTGGTCAAGACCATGTTCTTAATAAGTGACTCATCATGGCTTTGAATGCAGATTGTCCAAAGGTAGAAATAAAGGGGGGGGGAATTGCATCATAGACTTAATTAACATAATGTCCAATAAATAATAAAAATGACCAGGGTGGGGTGTACTGAGTGGTAGAGTGCTGGCCCTGCATGTGTGAGGTCCCGGGTTCAATCCTCCATATAACAGGACCCTCTAGATAACCTTTTACCCTAAATAGACATACTACTACTCCTAAAGGCTACTCCTTGTTGACTGAGTAAGTCGGAACTCCTTGTCTGGTGGCGATTTCTCCTCCTTAGGCAGTGTGACATATATATATTAGTACGTGGTTGTAGGTGGACACGATGTCTTCATCTTATATTCACGTGGTGCTGAGGACGGGACCTAGTGCCGGGTGCGTGCTAGGCGCGCGCCCTACCGCTGAGCCGACGCATTTGGGGCCATTTCTGCAGTGAGTGGGGAAGGCGACGGTGCCCTGCGGCGGCTTCTGCATCAGTCTGCTCCAGCACACACTGCACTCTTCCAGAAGGTCCAAGGGAATCCCGCCTGACTGCGAAACCTGAAAACATACAGCATCTTCATGCACAGGGAGATGAAAAGCCCCTGCCACGTTGGTTCCCTCTGTTGGGGGAGCCTTCTTACCCACCTGGTGCTCCCTGATGCAGGCCGTAGGTCACTCTCTTGAGTCACAGGGAGGGGCAGTAAGCGAGACAAATGACATTCCTACATTTTTTGCTTGTTGGCATGCTGGGAGTTGCACCCCAGTCACGCGCTTGGCCACTGAGCTCCATGGCTGCCCTTCTTATGTCTATTCTGAGACAGGGTCTTGCTAAATTAAATCGCTGAGGCTGGCCTCGAACTTGAGATCCTTCTCCCTCAGCCTCCCGGGTGCCTGGGATCACAGGCCTGCGCCACCCTGCGCCTTTAGGAAATCGATATTTTAGAGCGAAGCTTAAAGCCTTCTAATCTGCACAGCGCTGGTTTGCGCGGCCGCGGCTGTTGGACCGGGGTGGGCCAGCGGCGCTGGGGACGCTGCGCAGCGGCCCGGGCCTGGCGCCGAGCCCGCGGGGGCCCGGGAAGCGGCGTTCTGGCCGGCGAGCCAGGGCGCCCGGCAGCCCACTTCCAGTTCCCGCCGCGACTCTTCCACCCCGCCCACCTCGCCCGGCCGCCTCTGATTGGCGGAGCCGCCGCCCGCTCGCGCTGCCATTGGCCAGGAGTCAGGCGTGGGCGGGCACAGGAGATGCCCCCCGCCAGCCGCCGCGTCCGGGTCATTCCGCTCGGCGGTTGCGGTCGCAGAGGGGCTGAGCCGGAGGTCCGCGGGGACGCTGCGCCGCTCTAGGTACGTGGCGCCCGAGCGAGAGGCCCGCGCGGGTGGCGGTTGGCGCGGCAGCGGCTTCCCGGGCCCCGCGGAGGTACCAGTCGCGAGACCGGAGCAACGGGCGGTGGCGGCGGGGCCGCTGGGGCAGAAAGGTGTCCGCGGGGGCCCGGCGGGTCCGCACCGCCTGCGAGCCGGACGCGGGGACGCGGGCAGTGGGCAGGAGCGCGGGGCCCGTCCGAGTGCTTTGCGAGTCATCCGCGCATCCCGGCCACCTCGGGCTCGTGTGGTCGCCGCTGGCCGCGCCGGGCCCTCCCGCTGTCGGTACGTGGTTACGGGGTGCGTGGAGGCCGGAGGTGACCGGAGCACCTGGAGCACAGGCCGAGGGGCCGCTGCCGAGCTCCGCCGCCGGGACGCGGGGACGCGGCGAGCCCTGGCGCGCACGTGCGTTTTTGTGGATCACGGAGCGACCCGACTCGGTTCCCGGCGGCCCGGCCAGTCCTGGGAGGCGAGCCCAAGAATGGGTCTGCCCCAGGCCCACGACGGCGCTCCGTCTTCCTTCAGAAAACTCCCAGGCGGCCCAGTGGTGCCGACGTGGAGGGCGCGCCTTCTCACTCCGTAAGACGACACGAGTTGTGGTTTCACTCCCTGCAGGTGTGTGTGTGATCCCAGGTGCTCCGGAGGCGGAGGCAGGAGGATCCCACTGCAGGGCAGCCTCGACAGTAGGGCGAGGCCCCGAGCCATGTAGCACCTCTGTCTCGGAATCTTAAAAATGAACAAAAAGTCTGGGTATGTGGCTCCATGGTGGAAAAAAAAATTTTTTGGTATTGTTAATATCAAGAAAAAGACGATTTTATTAAATGATTTATATACAAATTGTCCTAGCAATTTAATGGACTTATTCTAAATCAGAACTTAATGTGTTAACTCCAAACTTTCGATTATGTTGATATTTCAACAAAATGGACAATTGGTGCATTCAAATAGGTTGGAGCTGGGCATGGCATGATGGCTCACTCCTGTAATTCCAGCGATTTTGGAGGCTGAGGCAGGATTCAAGTTCCCGGGCAGTCTAGGCAACGTGGCAAAAACCTGTCTCAAAAACAGTTTAAAAAACAGGGCAGGCTAGGCGCGATGACTCACCTATAATCCCAAGGGCTCAGGAGACTGAGGCAGGAGGATGGCCGAGTTAAAAGCCAGCCTCAGCAATTTAGTGAGACCCAGTCTCAAAAAAGTTAAAAAGGGCTGGTCATGTACCTCAGTGGTTAAGCACTCCTGAGTTCAATTCCTGGTTGAAAAAAAAGGGTGGGAGTGGGGAGCCTGCAGGCTGGAGATGTGTATTCTGGGGTAAAATGCCCTTGGGTTCAATCCCCAGTGCCCAAGTAAATAACTTGGAAATCATAATCTATAGAGTTTTTATACATAAGCTTATGATTATTATAGCATAATGTAACTATTATATATTATGTAATCTTATGCCATTGTTAAGTTTTTATAAGTGTTCAACATCTGGGACAATGAGACAAAATTGGCTAAGACTATGCTCATGATTTTTGCACATCTACTTGTAGCTGGTAAATGACCTACAACATAAATGTTTGCAAAACCGGTGGTGAAAATATAAAGATAAGTATAAATAACAGGAAAGCTATTGTGAATGAAAGACTAATTAAACTGATCAGCTTTTGTGAAGTATGCCTTTCATCTTAGCTTGTTTATTCCTCAGATCCTTTTAGAAGTGTTGTATCCAAAGTTAATCAAATTAATCTACTTAACCCCGAGTCTCATTTGCAGATAATATTCAGATATAATCCTAAGATTGACTTTTGCCTCAGTGAAATTCATGAGCAGTGCTTAGCTGCAAATGATGTGTGTACTTTAAATTTTTTTTCTTTAAATGTTTTTTAGTTGATGTACCTTTCTTATTATTTTTTAAAATTTATATGTGGTGCTGAGATCGAACTCAGTGCCTCACACATGCCAGGCAAGTGCTCTGCAACTGAGCCACAACCCCAGCCCCTTGTACTTTAAATTCAAGATTGTCCTGCTAGAGTCTTGGTGTAATCTTGAAATTTTTGCTCGGCTTACCTTATTGACACTCTGCTTCATCTCAACCTTCAATTCTACTATATTTTCTTATTAATATTATGAAGTTTGGCATGGAACTATCATGTGATCTTTTTGTCTTTCTGCATGTATTGTAGTTTGTTTCTCTCTTTTTTGGGGGTAGAGGGAGGCAGTGCTGGGGATCAAACCTGGGGCCTTGCATGTGTTAGGCAAGTGCTTTGTCACGAAGTTACATATCCAGCCCTTCAGATGTATATCATTTGATGTAATAAACTTTTAATATAATGGATAGTTAAAATAAAAGAACTTTCTAACTTTAAGTGTGTATTAGATTAGTTCTCACAAGGTTGAATAATATAAAATATTAAGATCCAAATTCTTCAATCTCATTCCCTCTCTCTTCCTCCGTGTGTGTGTGTGTGTGTGTGTGTGTGTGTACTAGGTATTGAACCCAGGGTGCTCTACGTCCCCATCCCCCATTTACTTTTGAAACGGGGTGTCACAACATTGCTCAGCCGGTCTTGAACTTTCAATCACCCTGCCTTAGCCTCTTGAGGCTTTGGGATTACAGGTATGCTGTACTGCATGTTTCAGCCTTGGTTGGACAGATTGTCATCAGGTGATATCTAGAGAGAATGAATTCTTAAGAGTGAGGGGAGATAATTAGAGATAACTTTGATTTTTGAATTTCTGATCAAGCATTTATACTAAATTTAACCATTAATTATATACAGGCACTTTTTTAAGTGTGGCAATTTCTATTAATATATTTATGAGGCTCTACTGTGTATGGTGCTGTTGATGTGAAAAATCTTTTTTTTTTTTTTGAATTTTAATATTTTATTTTTTAGTTTTCGGCGGACACAGCATCTTTGTTTGTATGTGGTGCTGAGGATTGAACCCTGGCCGCATGCATGCCAGGCTTGAGCCACATCCCCAGCCCATGAAAAATCTTATGTGATAAAAATGACAAGTTGCTAAGGCCTGTTCTGGTATTCTTTATTAAGGAGAGGCCCTGGGTTCAATCACCAGTACTCGGGTGGGGTGGGAGGAAGGAAAAAATAAATAACTCTAGGTGGTTTTCTACAGGTTCATTTTTATAAGTAAATATTTATTAAACATCATTTTAATACTTTGTGAGCCTAGTGCTATAGTATACACCTGTAATCCCAGATACTCCTGTATCTGGGATTACAAATTTAGGTCAGCCTCAGCAACTTGGCAAGATTCTGTCTTAAAGCACCTGGGATATAGCTCAGTGGTAAAGCACCCCTGGGTTCAATCCCTAGAATCCACCCCACCCCCAAAATCATTGTGAAATGTTTTTCACTGAGGATATAAAGACACATCTCTGCCCTGAAAGCTTGCGAATAAAAATGCATTTGTAACAGGAAATTTAGATAAGGAAGTAGTCCTCTTGGGGAAGACATTTTTGAAGGGTCTTAAACTTGACCATTAAAGGAGTGTAGCATAGGGGGACGTGTTAATATGTGACAGTTCTGATCAGTTTAGAAGAAAAGGAAGATTTGGTCAGTTCTAGGAAAAATGAAATATTATGTAAGAAATAAAATGCAATCATGATATTGTCTGGTTTTATAAAAAATAATTTACCGTAATAAGTATGGATGCATCTGAAAGTGTGATGAGCTGTAACAGGCATGTGGAGTATAGAAAAGAACTAAATCATCAATTTGTCATTGGATTAGTTCCATAGTTTTGGTGGTAGTTTGGTTATCAGACTCCCACACAAATACTCAAATCTGCAAATGCTCAAGTCCTTTAAATAAACATGGTGAAGTATTTGCATATAACTTACACACATCTTCCTGTATGCTTTAAATCACCTCTAGATGTCTTATCTAATACTATATAAGTGCTATGTAAATAGTTGTTATACTAAGGGACTGTGGCAGAAGAAGGACTGCTTACATTCTGCACATGTGCAATTATTTTCCATCCATGATTGGTTGAAACTATGGATATAGAACCTACAGATATGGAGAACTGGCTGTATTTAGAAGTAGGTAAATTTTTAACTCAAGAAATTTGAATGTGAACATATTTAAATCAGATTTAAAAAATAAGTTGTTAAAATTAATTGAAAGTGATTGCCATTAGGCATTAAGGTTATGCTAGCAAACAAATGCTTTGTTTATTTTTTAGTAGCTGGGTTGAACCCAGTGGCACTGAGCCACATCCCCATCCTTTTTTTGTATTTTATTTGGAGACAGGCTCTCACTGAGTTGCTTAGGTCCTCACTAAGTTGCTGAAGCTGGCCTTGAACTTGCAATCCTCTAGCCTCAGACTCCTGAGATGCTGGGATTACAGACATGTGTGACCATGCCCAGCTTACAAATGCTTCATTTTGTTATGAGCATTTTATACTAATTAATTTAATACTATTACATTGATAAAATTTAGCAGAAAAGGAACAATTCTGCTAGTGCTCAGGTGACACCAATGCTACAATTCTATGGACCACACATAGTGTAGAAAGAAATAGCCTGTGCTCATGAGAATAGGAGTAGGTCATACTCATGAATGTCCCCTGGCACAAGTTGACCCCTAAAAGGAGCTTTGTCATTTTGTTGACTCCCTATTAATGCAGGTCCTGTATCTTAACAATACCTTATGTGGTTAGATTAGTTGGTTTTTTTTTTTTTTTTTTTTAGCTTTTACTTTTAAAAATTAGGAAAAAGGTAGATTATTGCCAGGTGTGGTTAATTTATGGAATTTTCCATTTAAACTTACTGGACCAGGGACAAGAAAGGGACTGTTGTATAGATCCATCTCTCTTGTTAGCATTATATAAAAATTCTAAACAAAATATTAGCAAATCAAAGACATTATGATCAAGTGAGGTTTATACCAGAAATTAACTAGAATTAATATTTTAATATATTAATCAGTATAATACAAATTAGTGAAGAAGTGAAATCTATGGATCCATCTCAGTA